GACCACTCCCGGGGTCCATCCGGCGCGGTTTTTCATGTCAGATCGAGCTTCGGGGTCTCGGGGCCCGAGAACGAGAAATATGAAAAACCACCTTCGAACCTGGAAGTTCGAGCCTCGAAGTTCCCCACCTCGCTCGCCGCCCCCATCCGTCCAGTCCCCCCTCCCCCCATCGCCCTAGCCCCATCTGACGTCTTCGAGAAACGCCGCAACTTTCACGGACTCCAGCTTGTGCTCGAGAAAATCAAGAATCTGGACTGGACCCTGGGTGTTCTCTTGGAGCCTCGCTCATTCGTAAAGTGCTCGTGCATCTGGACTTGGACTGCTGGCTAAGAACACGTCTGGGGCGAACGCCATGCTCCAAGCCTAAACTTTGCTTAACTCTACGCATGGGTGTAGCCCCTTCCGAGGAAGGAGAAACTGCGCAAACATATGCTGTCGACGCTCCGCGCGGACTTTCTCGTGGAGGAGGAGGAGGAGGAGAAGCAGGAGGAGCAGGAGGAGGAGGGTCGGGCTCTCAAAACTGAAGACCTCCTGCGGTTATTATTTGTTACAGAAAGAGTGGTCCTAGAGGTCCTGTGCGGGATGCCTTGTGTGGGATGTCTTGTGCGGTCTTGTGCTGGCTCTGTCCTGTGCGAGGCCTTGGCCACGCTGGCGGACCCGTGCTCGCACATCTGTTGGACAGACAGTTCTCTGCACAAGTCGTCTTGTGCGCGACCACTCTTCGCTCGAGAGTAGCCTCTTCTCGCAAATTGGAACATATACATTACCAGTGGCGGGTTGTTTTTCAATCCCACGACTTTTTAAGGGTCAGGGACGCCATCGGGGTGGTGTGGTGTATACTTTTCCCCCGTTGTCCAAGGAAAACGATGAAACATGTATGCATCAGGATCCCGTATACACCAGGACCCGCGCTCCTGTGCGAATTTCAGCGCAGGGTCGGGAAAAGCGTCGGTGTATAGAGTTCGGGGAGAGGAGAGACCACACACACACTTTTGGTCGGCGGGGCGAGAGCGAACCTCTTCCGCCAAAAGCTAGGCGGGCGACGCACAGCTTCCATTGGGGAGACAGGGCACGGGCAGGTGGGGCCTCGGGCGGCCGGAGCGGGCGGGGCCCGGGGTGCAGGACACCACACACACACACACCTGCATGCTCGACGCTCCGCGCGACAAGCCCTCGCGGTCGGCGCGCGCCCCCCCCCCCCCCTGGGCGGCGCCTCTGGTGCCGCCCCCGGCCCTTCCCTCTACAGGAGGAATGTTCAGGGAAGGCCCTTCCCTCTACAGGAGGATGTTCAAGAATGTTCGAGGACTGTTCAAGCATGGTGAAGCAAAATAGTTTTGGGACGAGGTTTCTATCCGTAAGGTCTTCGCCCCCTGCCGCCGGCCCCCTCTCCTCGGAGAATGGGCCACGGAAGAGCGAAGTCATGAGGCTTCGGCTTCGCCGTGAAGCAGTGTCGGGACCTGTCTGTTTTTTGGGACCCTGACCCTACGGATCTACGTGAGGGGTGCCGCCGAGTTTCAGAAATGTGGCAAATCCCTTGTGCTTTTGGACCCTGACCCTACGGATCTGCGGGAGGGGTGCCGCCGAATTTCAGGAATGTCGAAGGATGGTGAAACAATAGTTTGGGGACGATTGTTCTATTTTGTCAGCGATGTTGGATTTTCTTTCGATTGCTCTCTCTTTTTCTCTCCAAAATCCGCCTGTAAGAGGTGATGCCCGACCTAACCCAAAAAAGTGTACGGTAGGTTCTCGCCGTGTCGACCGGCGGTGTCCCCGCCGGGGGCGTTAAACGTTGAACGCCGCCGGCGACCCAGAATCGGTCGATGTTGAACGGTCTGACGTTTCGGGGACGGACGATCGTTCAAGGTTGAACGATCCCCGCGGTGTCAGAGACCAACGCCGAAGTCGGCATGACACGAACCTGCCGTGTGCTTGCGCCGCTCGACCTTCTTATACGGCTGGACCGAGGAATGGCGTCGATACGGTCGGACCCCCCAGAATATCACGGCGGGAGGTATTTGGCCCTTTGCGGCCTCCCAGGGCCACCGCCGGGTCCGGAGCCCACATCGAGACGGTCGGGCCCGAAAAGAGCACGGCGGGAGGTTTTTTGGGCCATGTGCGGCCTCCGGAGGCCCCCGCGGGCCCTGGGAGCGTCAGAAGCCGGCTCGGGATGGAAAACCGGTGCCAGGGAGGAGGAGGAGGAGAAGGAGGAGGAGGAGGAGGAGGACGGGACTTCTGGGGCCTCCGTATGGAAAAAAGCGCGACATTGCGAAGTAAGATCGAGGTCGGTTCGGGGAGGGTGCCCTTGCCTGGATGTTTTTCGTGGTCGTTGAGTGTTCTTGTGCATCATGGGGGAGGGCACCTTTGAGTTTCTCAGTTTGGCCAGCGAAGAGTCTCATTTTCTTGAAGGATGTTATTCTGTCCTATGTCCGGCCGTACCGCCGCCGTCTCTTGATTTTTAGGGGGTTCGTTGAGGGCCTCGAGGTTGCGGCTCCCCCATCAGGCGCACCCAGAGCGCGACGTAGAGTTCATGATGTACTTCTTTCGAAGCACGGGCTCCCGCGAGCATCAGAAGAATGGCCAGAAGGAGTTCTGGGACAAGCGCCGCGCGCAGCGTGAGGAACGCGTTTTTGCCTGTCCCTTCTTCAAGAGCAGCCAAACTGCCAGCTCATCAACAGCACAGTCACCGCCTGGATGGACCCGAGAGCATGAAGAGCAGCGGGAGCAACATTGCTTGCGGGTGCACATGGCAGAAGTAGTGTCTCTCGGCCCCTCCGGCGAAGCCCATCCATGTCGCTACGAGCTATCAAAGCAAGCGGCTCGAGGCCGACATGGCTGAACTTGGAGCGACCACGAAGGCGGAGAAGAAGAAAGCGAAGGCTCAGGTTTGACGAGGGGGGACTTGAGGTTCGAAAGAGGGAGATCTCGGCGAAGGGGAGACATGGAAAGCCCATCCACCTAGGAACTGCAGTCGGCTGCACGGTCGGCCAGGCATAGACAGCCCTCCTCCTCCTCCTCCTCCTCCTCCTCTCCTCCTCCTTCCACCCCCTCCTCTCCCCACCCTTCTACATATATATATATATGTATATATATATACATATGCATGTATATCTGCCCCAAGGTCCCGAAGCTAAGTGGGGACAGAGACTGGGAAATGGTACATGCATCCGCCCGTTGGGAGCCCGGACGTGGAGGAGGCCAACGGTGGTCGAGGAGGACGTAAACATATAGCTGTGCTATCATCACATGTGAACTTTCGCTCGTTATGTTTGCCAGCGTGGACCCAAACAGTTGGTTATTGGACTCTCGTTGTGCAGTGGTGGTACGGTCTATGCGATGCTGCCTATGCTTTGCGATCTACGTGGTGCGATCCATGTGGAGCAGCTTGTGAGGAGCACTATACGTGCACAACAAATTGACTGCAATATATGGAGTGCGGCGTTTGCGTGGTGCAATCTTGCGTGGTGCAATATGTATGGTGCAGCTAGTGTGGCGCAGTCTGTGGGACGCAATGTATACGGCGCAAGCGAGTTAATGCAAAGTGCAATCAAAGCGAAGAGCTTGAAGTCGTCAATTGTTGACGCTTCGCGAATCTCCACCAGCATCCCGGTGCTGTCTGCCAAGGGCCGTCTGCCGCCTCCCTCCGTGGACGCTCCGTCTTCACTCAACGCAGAGCGGCGATTAGCCGCGACCCTGGATCCACGCGGGGAGCAGCAGAGACTACGGGCACGAGGCCTCCCGCGGGAGCTCAAGGTACTCTTGCACCCGGTGCTGTCGGCCAAGGGCCGTCTGCCGCAACCCCCCGTGCACGCTCCGTCTTCCCTCAACCCAGAGCGGCGGTTAACCGCGACCCTGGTTCCATGCGGGGAGTAGCAGAGACTACGGGCACGAGTCATCCCGCGGGAGCTCAAGGTACCCTCCCGGTGCTGTCTGCCAAGGGCCGTCTGCCGCCACCCTCCGTGGTCGCTCCGTCCATACTCTACCCAGAGCGGCGGTTAGCCGCGACCCTGGATCCACGCGGGGAGTTGCAGAAACTACGGGCACGAGACATCCCATGGGGGCTCAGGGTACTCTTGCATCCCGGTGTTGTCTGACAAGGGCCGTCTGCCGCCACCCTCCGTGGGTGCTCCGTCTTCACTCAACCCAGAGCGGCGGTTTGCCGCGACCCTGGATCCACGCGGGGAGCAGCTGGGACTACGGGCACGAGACCTCCTCTCTACACTTCAGCAGCGGTTAGCTGTGACCCTGGATGTACCACCACACGCCCCCCATGGGTGCGTCGGCCTTCGAGGTGGCAGCACTGCGCTCAGCGAGTCAGTCCGCTGGCTGCAGACTGCCCACCCCAGTAGTGAACGAAAAGATGGACCGTTCGGTATTACCTTCCTCTCAGCGGCGGTTAGCTGCGACCCTGGATGCCCCTCGGGGAATGGCGGTCCCCTGGCCAGGTGCACCTGGGATCCGTACGATGTGCGGTGATGTCTGTCCCCACCGCCTCTCTCCTCGGGTCCCTCTCGGGCCGGACTCTGGCCACGCCCGCTTCTTGGGAGCCCCTCCGCCTGGAGGGTCGGTGATGTCTGGTCTCGGAGGCGTTCGTCACCACACCCCAGGGCTGCCCAGGACCCCAGCTGATAGCGGTAACTTTCTACCTCACCTTCAGCGGCGGTTAGCTGCGACCCTGGACGCCCGCGGGGACGACGGATTCGAAGGAGACCCTGGACCCCTGCGGGGAATGTCGAATTCGGCGGATAAGGCAGTCCCACGGTGGCCTTCGGCGTACATCAGGCGGCAGCTGCCGTGCAGTTCCACCCTCGCCTGTTGTCCCTTGGGTGCCCCTCCGCGTGGAGGGTCGGTGATGTCTGTCCCCACCGCCCCTCCCCTCGGGCCTCCCCCGGGCTGGGCTGCCGCCAGGCTCGTATCCGGGTCTCGGAGACACGTCCCCACACCCCAGGGTTGCCCAGGACCCCAGCTGATAGCGGTAACTTTACCTCACCTTCAGTGGCGCTTAGCTGCGACCCTGGACGCCCGCGGGATGACGGATTCGAAGGAGACCCTGGGCCCCTGCGGGGAATGACGGATTCGGCGGATAAGGCAGTCCCACGTTGGCCTTCGGCGTACATCAGGCGGCAGCTGCCGTGCAATTCCACCCCGGACTCCCCACCTTGCTGGCGATGTCCCTTCCCACCAGCTTGGCCGGGTGTCCCTTGGGAGCCCCTCCGCGTGGGGGGTCGGTGATGTCTGTCCCCACCGCCCCTCCCCTCGGGCCTCCCCCAGGCTGGGCTGCCGACAGGCTTGTATCCTGGTCTCGGAGGCGTTCGCTACCACACCCCAGGGCTGCCCAGGACCCCCGCTGACAGCGGTAACTTTACCTCACCTTCAGCGGCGCTTAGCTGCGACCCTGGACGCCCGCGTGGATTGACGGATTCGACGGAGACCCTGGTTCCCTGCGGGGGATGACGGATTCGGCGGATAAGGCAGTCCCACGGTGGCCTTCGGCGTACATCAGGCGGCAGCTGCCGTGCAGTTCCACCCTGGACGCCCCACCTTGCTGGCGATGTTCTCTCCCACCAGCTTGGCCCCTGGAGGTCAGCCCGCTTCGAGTGGTTCAGCCTTCGCTGCCTCGGCCGCCCTCCGGGCCCGTCCACCCCCGGCTTGGTATTCGACGTTCCTCGGCGGAGCAGCACAGCTGGCTCGCACACGCCGTTGGCGCGGCTTGGGCTTGGCGCCCCACTGGCGACGGCCCATCGCTTACCATGTCTGGACACTCTGACGGCATGTTGGACGCGCCGCCCACTGCTATCGTCCTCATGCTCGTTCGGGTTCCCCACCACCATGTTTGGGAGGATCGCACGTGCAGGTCACCCACCTGTCCCAGCTTGCACCTCCACCTGGGTGGTCTGACGCCGCAGCGCGTAACACAGAATTCCCTGGCATTCTGCTTAGGGCTGCACGTTGCTCGAGCTTCCCTGGGCGTTCCAGTTCAGCCAGCCAGCCCCCTTGTGAGCTGGCCCGGCCGGCTTGTGCTGCGCCCAGTAGCTAATTAGGTTTGCCCGTCGGCCCGGACAACTTCTCTCGCCGCTTGCGCGTTCTCTGGTGGCCGCGACCAAAAAGAATCCCCACCAGCCCATCCAGAAACGATGCCCAGAGGAATTGCCTGGATCAGGGAAATGGGCAGCACACAGAGGAAGCCATTATGAGACATCTTAGGATATCTGGAGCCATCTTGAAGAACATCTTGGGCTCTCCCAGGCGCTCGTGGAGTCATCTGAATCAGCGCTCCCCCCCAAGAGGCCAACATGTGGCTAAAACCTTCGTGAAATCAATGATATGTCATTCCCGCCGAGGCCTCTTGGATCATCTTGTGTGCCCCTGGGGGGTCTCTTGGGGCCTCTTGGGGGTCTCTTGGAGACCTCCTGGGGCCTCTTGGGGGCCTCTTGGGGCCATCTTGGGGCCATATTGGGACCTCTTGGGGCCTCCTGGGCGCTTCTTGGGGCCATCTTGGAGGAGATCGATCAAACAAGAGAAGAGTCTAATTAGCGTCGCCCCCCAGGAGGCCGAAATAGGGCCCAAACCCTAGTAAAACCACTGATGTGGGCTTCCTTGCCGAGGCCGTTTTGGCATTCTCGCCGGGGCCTCTTGGAGCATTTTGGGTGCCTCTGGGGGGTCTCTTGGGGCCTCTTTGGGGTCTCTTGGGGGCCTCCTGGGTGCCTTTTGGGGGCCTTCTCGGGGCCATCTTGGGGCCATCTTGGGGACATCCTGGGGCGTCTTGGGACCTCCTGGGCGCTTCTTGGGGCCATCTTGAAGGATATCGATCAAACAAGAGGGGAGCATTAATCAGCGTCCCCCCCCCAGGAGGCCAAAATGGGGCCAAAACCTTTGTAACACCAATGATGTTGGCTTCCTCGCCGAGGCCGTTTTGGCATTCTCGCCGAGGCCTCTTGGTGCATCTTGGGTGCCTCTGGGGTGTCTCTTGGGGCCTCTTGGGGGTCTCTTGGGGGCCTCCTGGGGGCCTCTTGGGGGCCTCTTGGGGCCATCTTGGGGCCATATTGGGACCTCTTGGGGCCTCTTGGGCGCTTCTTGGGGTCATCTTGGGGGAGACCTATCAAAGAAGTGCGGAGCATTAATTAGCCTTGCCCCCCCAGGAGGCCAACATGGGGCCCAAACCCTAGTAACATCAATGATGCTGGTTTCCTCGCCGAGGCCGTTTTGGACGCTCTGGCACTTCGCCCCCCCCCATCCAGGTCAACGGGGGGGGGTAGGGGGAGGGGTCAAGACACCCTCCCCGCCCGCAAGCCGTCTCGCTCACTCCCACCCGCCCTCCCAACACATACGTAGCACCCGAGTCTGGCCCGAGCCTGTGCATATTCAGCAGTCGCCTTTGGATGGGCAGCTACTGGGGGCCAATCCGCCGCCGCCGCCGCCGCCGCCTCCGCCGCCGCCGCCGCCGCCGCCGCCGCTGCCCGCCGCCGCCGCTGCCGCCGCGCCGCGCCGCCGCCGCCGCCGCCGCCGCCGCCGCCGCCGCCGCCGCCGCTCCGCCGCTTGCCGCCGCCGCCGCCGCTGCCGCCGCGCCGCCGCCCCCCCGCTGCCGCCGCACCGCCCACCGCCACCGCCACCGCCACCGCCGCCGCCGCCGCCCCCACGCCCCGCCGCCGCCGCCGCCGCCGCCCCCGCCGCCGCCGCCGCCGCCGCCGCAGCCGCCACAGCCGCCGCCGCCACCGCCGCCGCAGCCGCCGCAGCCGCCGCCGCCGCCGCCGCCGCCAAGTGTACTCTGTATTGTTTTTTGACCGGGGTGGTGGGGGGGTGGGGGTGCGCATCGGGTTGGCTGCGCATGTTCCGAATTTGGAGGCAGAGTGTGTTTTGTATTGTTTTTTACAAGGGATGGTGGGGG